CCACATCGGCTTCCTTATTTCAAGTTTGCGAGTTAAATCCCAACAGTTTAATTTTTGAAACTTCATTTGCTGGATCGTGACAACATGTTCCGTACGCTCTTGGCCTAGCCATGGCTTCACTCCTCGCCCGATCGATAGCTTGCTTCACCACTTTTGTTACTTCTCTGTGGTGACCCCACAGTGGTTTGGGATCTAGATCCTCTGGCTAGAAGACTTCTAATGACGGTGCCAAAAGACCTCGGGGTGGCAGTATCGAAGAAGGCAGGAAATGTGGTGGCACAGGCGCAGATCAGACCAATATTGATTTCGAGAACACTGTAGTTGGACGGATCAGTCACAGATGCTCAGATAGAATATATAATTGGGAAGGGTTAGAATAGGAGGCTAGAGAAGCGGATTGCACGTACGTCCAGTAGAGGACCTTGGCTGCCACGTAGGTTTGGTCCGGATTCTGGGCATACCAAAGCGATACCACAAACCGCATGATGCTGGCAACACAGGTACTGAAGAAGAATTAGTCTTGCGTATTGAGAAAATGCCCATTGTTGACAACCACTTCCAAGACTTACAATGCACCAAGCCCAAAGACCGAAGCAATTCTCAGGCGTCTGGTCCATGGCATGGTCATCATGAAAATTACCGGTAGGGGAAGTAACAGGATATAGAAGTCAGAAACTATGTTGAAGATGCCGGTAGCATATGGGAACGCAGCATAGCTCATGCATGTGCCTTGGATGGTCGGGTTCCATGTAGCTTCAATCGGCTTGCAGCGGAAGAGATCGACGAAGAAGATGATAATGTAGAAGAGGGAACAGACGACTATGCCAACCCAGATGCCCCACTTCGTGGCAAGGTCAATCTTGAAAATGCGCAGATACCCAAGGAGAAGACAGAGCTTGACAAACAGGACGAGGGGGAAATAGAACTTTTGCGAGATGACAAGCCACTATGAATCACTAGTTAACGAGCAGGTACTTTTAGAAGTTGACGATACTCGAATACCTTAAGAGTTTCAAGAATCTCTGACGCTCGAATGTCGTACATGTGCATTCCAAAACCCCATACAGTCGCTACCACAAGTCAGTAAGGAGTCTCATTGGGACGGGACGGCAGACATCTTACCGTATGCCAGAACAACGGAGAATGTAATGGAAAGAGCCTAAGTCGAATGAGCGAACGGTCCATATCCTGCGATGCTGCTGACATTCCTACCCATGATAAAATTGCGAACCCTAGAATCAGTCAGTAAGCTGGCTTCAATTTCGCGAACAGGACTCGATCAGACGTACCGTCATCTACCCCGACATTCTTTTTAATGACAGCGCGAGTGTATAGGCGTACAAGGAGTGCCAATGTAGTCACCGTAAGAACCACAGAATGTAGGATAATGTTCTGATGCTTGTAGTTATCCGGGCTGTTGAAGTCAGATGTGAACCCAGGCGGGGGCATAGCTGCCGGGACTTGGGTAGGGTCCATGGCCGCGTCAGATGGCGCTCCTGTTGACATGATGAACGATGCGCAAGGTGACAGATGGAAGAAAGAAGCAGGAAGATGGACGCTGTGGAGCAAAAGTGAAACAGACTCTTGTCCTTGAGAATGGCACGGCCGACAGGCACCAACAACAGCAATGGTGGTTGTAAGGATGAGATTCGAGAGGGAAGCCGTGCCGTGTCAATCTACCACCCTGCAGATGAAGGATTCGGCCGCTGCCAACCCGGCGAATCGAGCACCTCGGTCAGTACCGACTTGTACCCAGTACCGATTCACACAGGATACGGCACGGTACTTCCCCCAAAACAGGTGCGTAATCTCTGGGGGGGGGGGGGGGGGGTTACATTGAAAGGGCTGCAATGCCATGCGTTCTGTCACCGAGTCGAAATGCAACACTAACCACATTGTGGTAGTAGGCATCATTGCATTTTACAAGCGAGGTAGTTGCCACGCCGGCAATTTTTATCTTCCCAGACAGCTTCGTGCAGATAGAAGAATCTGATATAGCTTACGGAATACATGGCATTTCTGTATTAATAGGTCGAAGCCTATTGCTCGGTTCGTCGTGCGAGATACTCGTGCCACACCCTGCCTAGATCAGCAGGCCTGATCGGAGCGAACATGTTTCCTAGCCAGCCCTTCTTTCGATGCGATGTAACACCGATTTCGTCCAGGAGCCTATCAACGTATGGAACGCTGTCAAAGGCAGCAAAGTTCCCGAGCTCGCCGTTTGACAGGTAGCGCCGCTTGTTCCAGGCAATCATGTGTGCGATATCTTCCTCCCGCTCTGCTATAGAGGGAAGCGTAAAGGCCTTGTCCCAGTAAGCCACTGCCCAGATGGCCTGGGCTTCGGCAGCGAACAATTTTGCCCCAGCAACTACGTGATTCATAAAGAGAATAGAATCGTCGTGTAGAGGAGCCATTGTGTGATACAGTCGATAGGGCGTTCGTGTTTCGTGTCTTTGGTAGTGCTTTGGCGGGTTTCTGAGCATGACGAACCGCCGGAGGATATGCTCGTCTGCCTCGCCGACGAGCTTCTCCCACTTGGCAGTTTCCTCTTGCGATTCCATATCCTTGGGATACGGCAACCCTAGCTCCACAAGCGTATTATAGTCGAACATGTCAAGGCCGTCTTTCCAGCCGGTTCCGCACAACACAGCGTCGCAAGGGAAATGCGTGCCGCTCTTGTCGTTGAGATACAGCTCGTTTCCGCTCAAAAGTTTTACATCGCTGCGGTAAACATAGACTTTCTCCGCGATAAGAGGCCAGAAGTCGGCGAAGTGGCAGCCCCCAGCGGTCCCATTCTGCCAGATTATACTTGGAACGGTTAGTATCTACAACAGACTAAAGGAGATAGCAAATGTCATGAAGTGTACTCACTCATTGTCATATTCTAACTTTTCAAAGCCTTTATCACTCTTTCTCTCTCGATAACCAGCATACTTGCGGACCGTGTTATCGAGAAGTGCAAAGATCTTGCTCACGAGCTTCGCGCCTAGGCTGGTGCTGTGGAGAAACCATGTCCACCACGATCGGTTGGGGATCAAGTAGCACGGCTGCAGCGATGCCATGATCCTTGCCTGCGATGCTTCTACCCCGTTTTTATACGGCGTGGGCAGGTCGATAGGTGCGAATGCCGCAGCTCCGAGCGAGCCGTTGCCGGTTTTGCGAATAATCCATGACACAGTTTTATTCGCCTTGACTGCCTCGTACACCATATCGGCGGCCGACTTGCCTGCGCCAATGACGGAAATGTGCTGGATCGACTTGTCTCGAATGATGTCGGATTGGCCAAAGTCAATCGAGTGGATGATCTTGCCCTGGAAATGCTCCTTGCCGGGGAAATCGGGCACCCTCGGGACCGAAGATTGGCCATTTGCCATCATGAGTCTCGAGGAGAAAACCGACCGCTGAGATTTGTTGACCGTGTTGACGCACGCCAGTCGCCATTGACCATCGACCTTCCTAATGGACTGGACGTGGGTATTGAACTGTATCCTATCTCGTAGCGTCTGCCCTGCGTGGCTCATGTTGTCGACATAGCACTCAAGATACTGTGTGGTATATTTAGCGCGGAACAAGTCGTGCATGCAATCCTCCTCCGGTGGGCGTTCCATCGACATATCAGAGAATTCGGCAATGCCATGTGTCCACTGCGTCCAAAAGCTGGGATAGAGTCGTCCTGTAGAAAGTTAGAGAATAGAACGGAACCGGGTTCCAGAGCTCGCACGCTCGCTCCATACACCTCCGACACAGTAGTCGCGCTCTAGAATAGCCAGTCGTGTCTCTGGATGAGCCTGAAGCAAGCGCTGCGCTGCGATGATCCCAGTGAGGCCCAGAGAGCCGTTAGCATCTATAATTCAAATCGGAACTCAAGACAAACCTGCGCCTAGGACAACGACGTCGAAACTGGTCGTATCGTCCGGGTGTGACATACTGGCAGCGTGTTTGTGCGTGTCTGATAAGTCAGAGGATGAACATTCGTGGGAAAGAGGGTTGTAATGTCGAGCATAAGCGACGTGCTGACAAGCCGCCTTCAGCCAGCTGCACGCGGCAGCGCCATACTTTTTTCTTCCCCTTTCGTGAAGATGACGTATCCGACCACAATTTTCATTCGGACATTTTTGCTGCACTGTGTGTACAGGGTTTGTACAGGACGGTAGCTACGCGCCACAACTTGGCATCTGCCATCTCATCTCTCCGCAAACTTCTCGTGCACGTCCCAACTTTCATTGTCAGTCATTCCTTCTCACAGTAAAACTTGTGCTCCTTACTTTAGCCATTCGAACAGGCTAAGGTTTGTAATTTCCGTGTCGATTTTGAGGGTTCCGATTCCTGATTCCTCCGTTTAGCCCCGCCCGGGAGGAAAAGGAGAGGAGAGTGTTCTACAGAGCTAGAGTGTCGCTAGGTAAAGAGTTCCTGCTTGTTGGGTCTGTGCCTGCTTGGTAACTTGTGTGCGCTGGCACATCTTTACTTCCCTTAAGTAAATATCTTTCCTTCCTTCGATGTTTAAAAATTATCCAGGAGAGCTCAAAACCCCTTTCAAGATGGCATTAAAATAAGGAAAGGGGCAAAAATAACGAGATACCAAAAAAGCTTCTCCCCGACCGGAGTCGAACCGGTGACCTATAGATAAATATCACAGTTACAGTCTACCGCTCTACCAACTGAGCTACAGAGAGAGAACTGATTACATAAGACAAGAGAAATCTACAAACTATGAATCATTGAAGCCTGGGACGTCACTGCGTGGGGCTGCAAGTGTACTGTATCTAGTTACTAACGTAGCTAGCTACTAGAAGTAGTATGGAGATGGATTAGCTGATTAACTAGCTTAAAATCTAGTTCTAGGGGGCCGACAGGACGGGTGGCTCTCTGGCCTACATTCTCGTGATGCGTAAATATCAGAAAAACTAACTACTAAAAATTATCCGGGAGAAAGGAAAAAAAATTCGAGATGGTATTGAAATAAGGAAACGAGGCAAAAGAAAAACAACAGTCAAAAAGTTTCTCCCCGACCGGAGTCGAACCGGTGACCTATAGATAAATAGTTACAATTACAGTCTACCGCTCTACCAACTGAGCTACAGAGAGAGAATTGGTTACACAGGAAAATTTTGAAAACTATGAATCACTCAAATCTGGAACGTCACTGAGTGGGGCTACCAATGCACTGCAGCTAGCTACCAACTGCGACCAGCTGCCAGCGGCAGCACGCTTCCAAACGCATCATCACCGTGATTGTAATGCACGTATAAGGTATCAGGGGAGTACCAAATAGAACGACTAAGGCCTTAGAACAGGAATGTCAAGTGCAATGTGCGACTAAAGTCTGGCCTTCTAACCAGCCTTCAGTCTACTCTCTTTGATCTATCTATAGATAACTTCTCTAAAAGGAAGCTAATCAGAGGGTTTGAACACGAGCTTCCCTATATCAGCGTCTACAGAGGTTCAGTAAAGTACAGATACTATTATAAGGAACTTTAAGAAATACATATGCCCACCTAAAATATACATGACGGGGAATGTCTTCAGGTTCCAAGAATAGTGGGTCTAGGCTTCCATTTTCAGAAGGCTCAACATCGACACGGTGACTACCTAAGAGCGTAATGCTCTTGGTATGTTTGCATCCGTCCAAAATGAAAACGTTAACAAGCTTGCGCAGCAGAGCAAGGTGTCTTCCAGGGCCAATTATAGGTGCATATGGTGGGAGCATTGGTGACACTTCGGCCTGTCATTTTACGGGAAGAAAAAAGCGGCAAGCTTCCCGGATGATAGGTACGCATGAAAAAAAGGCTGTTCAATGTAACCCCCATCATTGCTACCCTAGCATCCGCTTCTACTCAGCTCCATATACATACTAGCTGAAGATGATGCGCACACCCTTAGAATCCAGCCGTGCGAGAGGCACGATGTAGTCGTGGACGGCAACCACATCCGTTTCGTCCGTTTCGAACAATTCAAATCTAGGAGCGCCGGGGCGGAACAGCGCGGCTAGCATAAAGTTGATCTCCGCCATCGCTAGGTTCATGCCGATGCAGTTGCGGGAGCCTCGTGCAAACGGCACCAGATTCCGCATCATTTGCGGCGACAAATTGGCCAGCCACCGCTCGGGCACGAAACTGTACGGGTCCGGGAAGACGTCCGGGTCTGTGTGCTGGAAGTAGGCCGTCATGCCTACAGGCACCTCGGGGCAGGTTAGCGACTTGTGTTGCGTTCGGAGCGATTACACGTACCCCTGCCGGGATCGTCCACACTTTCCCATCCCGCGTGCTCGTGTAAGACAAGTCCGCGTCGGGCGACACGCGCGGCAGCCGGTGCATGGTACCGTAGCTGTGCCTGCATGCACGTCAGAACAACCCAATCCCGGGGCATTTGTGTGACGCACCGAAGACCCTCTTTGATCAGAGCCTGTAGATAAGGCAGCTTCTCCAACTGGGACCAGACTAGCCGCCCGCCTATGTCCTTGAGCTCATCTTCCAGTCGCCCACGCATGTGTGGGTTTGATAGGAGATAGAAGGTGATAAAATGCAGTGTGCGCGCTGTGGACACCGACCCGGCTCCCAAGAGGATCTGCGCCTCCTTCGTCAACCGCTCGACTGTTAACTCTTCTTCTGGAAGGTCACTGTCGTTCACCATGTAGCGGAACAAGGTGGGTCGCTCCCCCAAGGGTGATTCGACCTTCGTCACTTGCCGTTGTTCTTTCTCCTTGATAAGTTTCTCGATGTACTTCTCCGCGCGCTGCAGGGCACATTAGCCGAAGCTGTATCGTCGAATTAGGCAGAGTAGACCCACAGCTTTCCACACATTGAAGCACTCGGCTTTCGGGTCTAACCAAAGAAGCACCCAGCTGGGGATGCGTCGGACTAGACTACCGGATCCTGGTAAGTTTATTTCATTTGCGGAATCGCGGAGGAGTCACGTACTGAATAACCCAGGGGAACTCGGTAAAAAGGGGTATGCACTTTATCATGGAGTGTTGTAGGTCATACCTAATTCTTTCAGCTATGAGGCTCATATATGCAAGGACCTTTTTGAACTCACCAGGCAGGCGAAAAGTTTTCGTCCTCTATAAGCTCTGCCGGATTATCTACACAAACATGGCCAACAACGTCGCCGGAAAAGGCCAGCATCGCATGGTCGAGACGGACAATTCGGCCCGTCCCCGCAAAAGATCGGAAGCGAGCAATAAGCTTCTCTACGGCCGTGTTGATCAAGGGTTCTAACTTGGCGACTCCTAGGCGGGAAAAATATGGCTCGATCGGCTTGCGGCGCATGCGATGCAGTTCATGGGTCTCGGAAAGGAAGAACGTGCCTATGATGTGTTCAGCAATAAGTTTCCCGCAGAAGAAGCTGCCATACCCTCAAACCCAATCCCTGAAGCGAATTGGGAGTATCCTTGGGTTCGTCGCGTGCTCCCGGATACATAGACTTTGTCGTAGAAATTCGAGTCGGCAATGGACAACTCTTTCGGGTTGATGCGTACAATCGGCCCTGGCTGATCAGCATTGTCTTGATGGGGTAGTTTGACGGTGATTTCTTACCATAAATTTTGTGCATTTTCTCAATCTCGAAGCAATACTTGGCCTGCTTGAAGTAGTCAAAGTAGAACTCGTACAAACTCGTCATAGCAGCCAGCTTTGGCCCCGGGAAGCCAGCTAGCGGAGAGAGCCATAGCCGATAGGCAACTTTGAAGACGCACTGGAGAACAAAGGCACATAAAAGACTTATCCCTATATGAGGAGACATGATTAAGGGGCGGTGGTGCAATGAACCGATCAGAGTAGGATGGGAAAGTATCTCAGATGTGAGATGGTGTTTGCCTCACTATTGCGGAAGTGGGCGCCAAGGTATACTCTTAAGTAGCAGTGCGAGACCTTAGATACCTAATTGAGAACCGTGCAGTGGGCTGTGAGCCGAGGTCATGTTTTACACCGCTTAAGAGCAACCTATATTGCTTCAAGTCGGGGTGGGGGAGGGGGTTCAACGACCATTCCCATTCTCAAAGGGCACCTACAATCTCATGGATAACTATAAATATACAACAAAGTCCAGGCAGCCAAGAGCTGTAGCCTGAGCCGCACACTATACACTTAGCCGCTAGCGCGATCTTTATAAGCCAAAGTCCATCTACGGAGTACCCCACACCTTTGCAAGCACCATCGGTCCCTCGCCCGGGATAGCTTCAGCCATGGAATACCAATATTCCAACCTTTTGGATCCGTCCCAGTACGAAACAGATGGCCTTTGCAACGGCCTCCTGGTACGCAAGCATGTTGCCGACGACCTGGAAGAGATTGGAACTTTCAAAGCACAGCAAGACTGGAGAGACTTGGTCGCGCCTATAGCCAATTACAAAGGAGGACTCGGCCCAAAACATAGCTTCATGGCAGTTTCGATGCCGGAATGTCTCCCTGACCGACTTGAAATCGTTTCATATGCGAATGAGTTTGCTTTCCTACATGATGGCACGTTGAGTGTGTTCTGGCAATGAACGAATACATCATGTTGACAAGGCTACAGACGTCACAGATATTTTGAGCCAGCAAGAGGTAGGTGACCCTGTGCTGGACAAGCTGCATTGGGCCTGACAGTGTGAAAGGGAGACGTCGAGAACGATGAAGTTTTGGAGGCGTTCCGCGAAGGGGCGCTCAACGGGAAGATCGATGCTCTGAAATCAGGAAAGCGCCAGATGCAAGCGAAAATCCTGAATACGATGATCTCCATCGACCGGCCCCGGGCCTTGACCGCTATGCGCGCCTGGGCAGCATTCGTGGAGCAAGGAGCAGGACGCCAACACCATCATCAGTTCCAAACATTGGACGAATACCTACCATACCGTACCAGAGATGTGGGTCATATGTAGGCCTTCCGATCCAGACCCAGCTCGCACGCACCGTTCTGATCCAAGCATGACGCAGGTTTTGGCATGCTCTTGTCACATTCGGTTGCGCCATTACCATCCCAGAAGACCAAATGAGCATCTGCGCGGAACTTGTGCTCCCTGCCGTTGTTGCCGCAAGCTTGACCAATGACCTCTTCTCCTACGAGAAGGAGTATGAGGCCGCCCAGGCTGCCGGGCTTCCTCATGTCGTTAACGCGCTGTGGGTGCTTACGAGCGAGCACAATATCTCGCTAGAAGCAGCCAAGGCTATGTGCCGGCAGCGCATCAGAGAGGAAGTGGAGCAGTATGCGCGCACAGTAAAGGAAACCGCGTCTAGGAACGATATTTCGAGCGATGTGAAGAGATATATCGAACTCATGCAGTACAGCGTCAGCGGAAACGTCGTGTGGAGTCTGCAGTGCCCTAGGTACCACAAGGATATGCAGTACAACGAACGGCAACTACTGAGGGAGAAGCAGGGCGTTGCACAGCACTCAATGACAGATCAGTTGGTTGGGCCGAAGAAACGCACATGTTTGGATTCGGAGCACACGCCCACCCCGACCAAGAGAGCCAGAACGGGCGGACATCCCGACCTGCCGGAAAACGGAACTGGGAAGGCTGTCTCTCCAAAAGATACGGCTGGCCACCTATGCCGAAATTGCAAGGGCGGTTATGGCTGGGATGTTCTCGAATTCGCGCGCGGTACTGCGCTTCCCAAGTTGGGAGAAGAAGTAAGTACACTGCGCTCTTCAGGTTCGTATTGCTGACTATCCGGTCCAGTTTGTGCTCGAGCCTTACCGCTATGTAAGCTCGCTACCATCGAAAGGCGTTCGCGATATGGTCATCGACGGCATCAAACTCTGGCTCGGCGCGCCACCGCAGTCCACCGCCATTATTCGTAGTGTGGTCAACAGAATCCATAACAGCTCCATCATGTAAGCTGCAGAGCCGGAGCCGTGCGCCGCCCACGCTGACGATGGGTATACTGTTTAGGCTGGACGACGTGCAAGATGGGTCACAGCTGCGACGTGGCAGCCCTTCAGCTCACGTCATTTTCGGTGAGGCGCAAACCATCAATTCAGCTACTTTCCAGTATGTGCAGGCCATTGCGGAGGTCCGGAAACTGACGAATCCGCTCTGCCTGGACATTTTCATCGACGAAATGAGCAGCTTATTCGTAGGGCAGGGGCTGGACCTGCACTGGACC